AATTCCTACAAAAATAGAAATATAATAGATAAATATAAAACTAATACTCATTTTAATAATAACTCAGTACAAAATTGCTTGTTTTGCTCCAAAAAACGAATACTTAAAAGAACAAACAGAAATTTTCTATATTTTGTTTATTGAAAAATTTTTATTAAACTTAATTTAATTTACTTTTTTTAATTTATTTTTTATTTTATTATTATATTTATATTTTTATTTTTTTTTATGTTATTTACTTATATTATATTATTATTTATTTTATTTAATTTTATTTTATGTTCTTTTATTTTACCTTATTTTATTTTATTTTCTTAATGTTAAATTATCGAGTTTTGCTTTAGTTTCGTTTGTTTACTTTGACTTTTTTGTTGTATTTCATTTTAGGTTTGTTTATTTAATTTTTCTCCTTCTCTTATTTTATTATTTAATTTTTTTTTAGTTTATTTTATTTTATTTTATCTTATAATTTTTTTATTTTATATTATTTTGTTTTGTTTTATTTTACTTATTTTATTTTGGTTTGTTTAATTTTGATTTTTAATTTAATTTAATTTAGTTTTATTTTCATTAAATTTAGTGATTCTATTTTAATTTACGTTCTTCTTTTTATTTTAGTATTTTATTTTAAAATATAAAATTAATTATTAATGATTCAGCTTAATGTTATTTATTTTATTTCATTTTTTATTCCATTTACTTTTATTTTACTTTATTTGATTTTGTTTTATTTATCATCTTAATTTTATTTCTTTATTTAAATTTAATTTTTTTTATTTTGTTTTAAATTTTTTATTCTGTTTTATTTGTTTTAAGTATGTTTTAGTTTACATTAAATTGATTCAAATTAGTTTATTTTATTTTCTTAAACTTGATTTGATTAAATTTTTTATTCGCTATAATTTAATTTAATTTATATTATAGTTATTATTAATTTTATTTATATTAATTTAATTAAATTTAATTTTGTTTTATATTTTATAATTTTGTATTATATTATTTTGTTTTATTTAATTTTTTTAATTCATTTAATTTAATTTTTTTATTTCCCTTAATTTTATTTTAACTCATATATTTTTATTATTGTTTTAATTTATTCTCTTATTTCTCTTCTATTTACTTTATTTTATTTCATTTCACATTATTTATTTTATTTTTTTATTTTCATTACTTTAGGTTATTTATTTTATTTTATTTTAATTTAGGTTATTTAGTTTAGTTTAATTTATTTTTTAATCTTTTATTTTTTATTTTGTTTATTTAATTTTATTTTTAGGTCTTTTATTATTTAGCTTTATTTTACTTTAAGTAAATTTATGTGAATTAAATTATTTATTATATTTCATTTTTAATTATTTTATTTTAATTACTTATATTATTTTATTTTGATTTATTTTATATTTTTCTTTTGTTTGATTTTACTTTTATTTTTATTTAATTTAATTTTTTTATTTTGCTTGATTTTTTTTAATCTTTTAATTTTATTTCGTTATGTTTTTTTCTCTAACTAATTTTGTTATTTAATTTTAATTTGTTTTACTATATTCCGCTTTATTATTGTTGCTGTTTTTTCTCACTGTTCTCGCTTAATTATTTGCGCCATATTTTTACTGCTTTCGCAACAACAACTCTCTGCGATTGATGGCGATAAGATCGCCAGTGGGCTTGTAAAAACCGGTACGTACTTATCCGGCATTTGAGATGAAGAAAAATACAACAAAATATAAAAAAACAAAAAGTTTGCTTTTGGCTTGAAATTTTGTTACATTATGGCGGCGGACGTTGCTGCTATTTAGATGCTCATTTCTTATCTTCTGCTTCGTATTTATTACTTCTTTTTTTTTTGTGTTCTTCATCATCTACGCTCAACATCTTCGTGCTGACCCAGTTCAAAGCAAGTGGAACGAATTGGCCAACAGCGTGTTGGTAACAGAAACGAGCGGCAAGCGTATCATGCAACATTTTCATTATTAACAACAACAAAAAACACATTATAACGTTTTAATACGCAGAGCTATGTAAAAGCACTGGTTACAGCTACAAAATAAAAATCACCGTTAAATGCTTGGCTTTGCCCAATTCTTGGTCGCATTACTTCCGTTTCATATACTTACTTCAATTTTTTGTATATATTTTTTTCTATCCGGAATTTTTCCTTACACATTTTTTCTTTCATATTTTTTTGTTTATGATAATTCTCCAACGACAACGTAAAAAATTACCGTTAATTATGATAGTGAAGTGTAGCAAAATGTATGGTGAATTAGAGAGAAAATTTTACTTTTTTTAATACAGTGAAACGGTTAATTTTCTGCATTGTTGCATAGCTGAAGGCTGATTTACATACATACATACAAACCATGAGTTTTTGAGCCAAGTTTGGCGCTTAAGTCTTTTGTCTGGCATTTAGTTTTACTCGTATTTTATTATTTTTTCTAAGCACAAACAGCGATTAGCCTTAATCTTCGTCAAGTTAGTACCGGTAAGAAGTATGCTAAGCAGTCTCAAGCATGCTGTACGTTAGCGAGCGTGGTCAATTGCCTGTCAGCTTAAGCCAGCCACCACCGCCACCAACAAAGTGATCGGCAGAATCTGCTAAGCGCCCGAGAGCATCATTAAAGTGAAATAAGTTTTTTTGTTTGCTTTCTTCTTTTGATTTCATTAAATTTTTTCCTGTGCTTCTTTGGCATCTTTTGCTGCTTTGATATTCACATTATTAATTTTATGTTTATTTTACTACAACAAAGTGTTTTCTATTTTACTTTGAACTTCTGTACTTTAACTATTGGCCGAGTAACTTTCGAATGTTTTCATTCTAAAACCATAAAAATAGAATAGACTGAAGATAATACATTTTTTTTTTAGCTGTAAAGTGCTTTAAGCAGCTTGAATTAATGGTAATACTTTGCCATATGCTTAAATATTTATATGTGTATGTATATATATAAATATATTTGTATGTGTGCTTCAGCTCAGTTGACCCAAATTTGTAGCAGCTTCTACTGATCTTCTTCAAATGCATTTGCTTTTAGTTTCACCCATAAAATATAAATATCACTTGATTGAGTGAGAACTTTCACCCTCTTCTACGAGCATTTCTTGGGTGTTCTTATTGTATTTGAATGTTGCACTGACAAAATAACAGAAGAAGTCTCTATTTATGAATATGAATGCCTTTTCCGATTAAAGTCCAAAGAATAGAAAGTGAATATTGCTGGAAAGCCACACAAACTGCCATTGGGATGCCCTGAGTTTGACTCGTGCTCCAACTAAAATCAAAAATAAAACAAATTCCCTCGTCTGGAGATAAAACCTCCTTATAAAAAGCATTAGCCATTCGGAGGTGGCTTAGTATATAATTTGTAGTTGTCTCTATTTGTTGGAAGAACATGAAAACGCACACCTCAAATTGAAACGGCAGCTTGGTCAAAGACTGCTTTCAAGCCATCAAATATTTTTGTACTAGATGGCTTCGCGGAGCTGCCTTAATTGGTCTATAAGTGCCAATGGTTTCCCTTAGATGGCGTTAAAAAGGAAATGCGAGACATCTTGTTCACTTAACTCATTAGAGTTTGAGCCCAAGTGAGAGGTGGATACCAACAGAGAAAAAATATTCTACAAATCTTCCTCGACAAAGGAGAAAACGGAAGTGAACCAACTGAAGGTGTAAACTGGGTTTGAGGTTCTGATATTGGAACAGTCAGTCATACAGATTCATCCATTTCGTTACTGTAATTTTGATGTGAAGGATGCTCCGAGTTGTGGAAGACCAAAGAGACCCAAGAGCTAAACATTCCAAAAAAAAAAAAAAAAAACACTTTGGAACCACATGAACCACAAGACTTTATTCACTTCAATCCACAATTTCTGAGCAAAACTTTTTTTTTTTGAAGAAACTCAGCAAATTTTGGAACGAAAGTCGGCATTCACCGTAAAATTTGTTTTTCATTTCTCAACATACACATCAGTTATTGGTGTGACGGGGCATCCAGGGTGTGTCTCATTATTTAAACCAATAAATTCTATTTGTTTCATAAAGTTCGACAACATAAGAAATTTGCCAATAAGAGGTGTTATTTTCATATGCAAAGGAACTCTTTGATATCATCCAAATCCGATCATAAAAAATTAATAATCATCTCTTGATAGCTCAGTCCCTACATTTTCGAAAATGAAAGGTCCAATCAGACCGTGACACCATGAGTATGAAGAGGCTTTTTAATAATGAATCTTGAGTTTTCGAAACCCGGTTGCAACAGCTTTTCTTATTGACGTATCCAATGAGGTGGAAATGGTCCTTATCAGTCTAGATGATTTTCCGTTGAGTTGTTTATGGTGAATTTGTATCGTTCCATTTCTATTACTGGCGTAGTTTTACTTGTCAAATGTAACCGTAATATCAGGCAATTAAAAGAAACCGTCTTACTGAACCCCCTTTACTTTGTTGGCGTGCTTTAAACACCGAAATGGATTCTTAACTATGTATAATAATTAGTGCCATTTAATTAATTTTCTCTAAAGTGGGGTAAGATGACATGCATTAATCATTTATGGACTTCTGCATATTAATATATTATCTAAAGTGGTGTTATAATCAGACCCAGAATATATTTCAGTATGCAAATTCTACAAATCCAAGGCACATCGTAGCTAAATTTGACTGAAAGTAAATTGATTAATAATATTTGAGATATTAAAAACAAAAGAGAAATGGTTGCAAGATAGAAAAAAATTCAAAAAAAAAAAAAGAAAAAATATTAATAATAAAAATAAATAGAAGCGAATTTTAATAGCTGAATAAGGATGAGAGAGAATCATTAAAAATTCATAAAAAAGTTATGCTTTCAAAAATTTTTTATACAGAATTTTGAAAATAAAAATTTAATTAGGTCAAGTAGTTAAGATAAAAGTTAAAAGAAGAAGGATGTAAATTGTGTTAAGACGAAATTTACAAATAAGAAATTAAATATTTATAAATTCATAAAATAATGAAACAAAAAGAGAAAAATAGGAATTTATATTAAGAAAAAAAAATTAACAAAAAAACTCAAACCCTTGCTTTGCACTGAAGTCTTCTCATGCGCGCAACCTTAAGCGAACTTCAAAAATTCTTTTTAACCGATTTAACAAGTGGAAGAATTGAAATGAAGCAAAAAAATATTAATTATGTCGCGAACTGAGTGGATAAAGTGCGTCTGGACACATGAAGAATATGGCAAAATGTATAATTTATTATGGAAAGAATTCAGTCACTGTTTCTCCTTGTTTTTTGCACCGTCCACGATGACGAAAAAGGTAACTAGGAACTTGACAAAAGAACACGGGTATATAAGAGGCGAGTGAGGGTAACTTTCTCCTTCAGTTGATCTATGAGCCTGGCGTAGTGCGCAAGGTCTGTAGTTCAGTAGCAGTGCGTCTACTTCTTGCTTCAAGTGCTCAAAGTTTTGTGTGTCAGTCGTACAATAACATAGTTGTGAGCATTGACGGTTAACGGTTAAGTGTCAGTGTCATTTAAAAAGAAAATGTGTCAAATGAAGTGCGTTATGTGGGCAGCGTTGATACTGTTGTTCCATTTGAGTGTTGGAAAGGCGGTGAGTGTACAAAAGAAATAATATGATATTTGACGACACGAAATGTGCGCAGAAAATTGGTGACATTTGGAAGTGTTCAAAAGTGAAAGGAAATTAACGAAAGTTCAAAAGAAGGTTAAACTGAAGAGAAATCGTGAAAATTTTGAAAAGAACATATTAAATTTATTTATTATTTATTAAAAAAAAAAAAAAAATACTGAAAATGAAAATTTAAATGAAATGAGGGGGAAAACCGGAAAAAATATAATAAATAGGATAAAAGGAAATTAATATAAGTTAGAAAATAAAGCAATAAAATAAGAAAAATAATAAAATAAATTAAATAAAAGAAGATTTTGAAAAACTACAAAACAAAATTAAATCAAACAGAAATAAAATAAAATGAAATAAAATAAATAAAATAAAATAAAATAAAATAAAATATAACAAAATAAAATAAAAAAAATAGAAAGTAAGTTTATTTAACTATCAAACAGTAAAACAAAAAAACCATAAAAAATATATTATTTACATATAATTAACAAAATAAAATAATATTTTTATATATAAATTGAAACAAATTGAAATAAATTATATTAAATTAATTATAAAAATAATATATTTATATATCACTACTCAATAAAATTTCAAAGAGTAAAACAAAAAAATTAAATATTAAATTAATTAAATTAAATAATAATTAATAATAATAATTGTACCAAACAATTATAATTTAAATAAATAAAAAAAATAAACTAAATGAAATAAAAATAAATTATTTGCTTAATGGCATTTTGTTAAATTTTCATGTAATTTATTTAAAAGTGTCTAATAATATTAATTTAATTAAAACTAAAAATAATAATAAAGAAGTCAATAAACATAAAAAAATATATATTTTTTATTAATTTATTCATAAAGTTTCCATTGTAATTATTTAATTTTCATAACCAATATTTGTGTTATCCCTCGCATTCCATTTTCCCAAAAAACCAAAAAACAATTAAGGACTCCGGCTATTTTTATCCACCACCCAACAACAGTGCCGCTTTACCGCAAGAAAACGGACTTGGCGCCGGCTACCATTATGAACCGCCAAACACTTTGGTGGATCAACAGAATTTTAGTGGTTATTATTATCCGCGTCCACCTTCGCGCATACCCATATTACCAGCCGAAAATCAAGCGGGGAACATCGTTGAACCAACTGGCACACCACCACCAGGCGTAATGGGTGATTTTATCGATGATCTAATTGATGGGCAAAAAGAGCAAATTATTTCGTCAATCTTGGGTAATGGTGACTTTGTTGATGATGATGATTCGAAAGCGTTGCGTTTCAACAAATGTGCTTCGTGTGGTAAGTTTTGTGTTCCTTTCTCATTATTTTTTCTCTTTGTCGCTTTGTATATTCTCTCGAATTTCTCTAGCTTGTGGTGTGCCGAATGTTAATCGTATCGTCGGCGGCACAGCTGTACGCAGCAATAAATATCCCTGGACGGCACAGCTACTTACTAAGGGTTTTCTATTCTGCGGTGGCGCTTTGATCAATGATCGTTATGTACTCACCGCTGCTCATTGTGTGATGGGCCAGCGTGCCAGTTCGATCTCTGTACGTGTGCTGCAAATTAATCGTGCTACAACAAAAACGGGTATTACCAGAAATGCTGCGGCTTTAATAATGCACGAAAAATACAATACGAACACCTTGGTTAATGACATAGCTTTGGTTAAGTTGAATAAGCCAGTGGAGTTAAAGGATCCCATACGCCCGGTTTGTTTGCCGAATATACGTCGACAGAATTTCGACTTTAAGGAGGTTCGTATGAAATAAATATATCTTTTCAATTCAATATACAATTAGAATTTATATTAATTTTTCTCTGTAGGGCATCGTCGCTGGCTGGGGTCTTACAAGTCAAGATGGCAGCGTATCGAGCATTTTGCGTGAAGTCGCCGTTCCAATTATCACGAATGCGCAATGTCGTGCAACCGCGTATAAATCGATGATAGTTAGTACTATGCTGTGTGCTGGTGTTGTGGGTAAAGGTGGCAAGGATGCTTGTCAGGTGAGCTCCTCGGTGGTTTGATAGAAAGGGAGAGAGAAAAAAAGAGAAGACAAAGATATGAGAACAAAAATAGACAGAGAAGAAAGCGAGAAAGTTATGGGTGAATTTAAAAAGAGGTATGGAAGAAAGAGGGGTAGATGAAAAGTAGGAGAGAGAGAGAGAGAGAGAGAGAGAGAAAGAGAAAGAGAAAGAGAAAGAGAAAGAGAAAGAGAGAAAGAGAGAGAGAGAGAGAAAGAAAGAGAAAGAGAAAGGAAAGAGAGAGAAAGCGAAAGGAAAGAGAGAGATAGAGAGAAAGAGAGAGAGAGAGAGAGAGAAAGAGAAAGAGAAAGAGAAAGAGAAAGAGAAAGAGAAAGAGAAAGAGAAAAGAAAGAGAGAGAGATAGAGAGGAAAGGGAGGTAGATGAAAGGAGATAAGGAGAGAGAGAGAGAGAGAGAGAGGAAATAGAGGTAGATAAAAAGAGAGAGAGAGAGAGAGAGGAAAGAGAGGTATATGAAAAGAGAGAGAGAGAGAGAGAAGACAAAAGAAGAAGAGCCCCCCTGCGGGTTAGGGGCTCAATAATTTACCCGAGGTAAGGCATGCCTGTCGTAAGAGGCGACTAACATCCAATAGTTCCGGAACGACCTAGCCAAGGACTGTCACTCCCGCAACATTCCCCAAAAAGTACTTCGGAGAAAAATTTTGCGCTTACAACAACAACACCCAAGGGAGGAAAGAGAGGTAGATGAAAATAGAGAGAGAGGGAAGTCAAAGAGAGCGGCAGAAAGTAGAGCGACAAAAAGTAAAGATCAAGAAAAATGAACACAAATTTGAGGAAGATAATTAGATGAGAGAAAAGAGAGAGGAGACAGAGAGAGCCAAGTTATTGAGAGAAAAAAATAAAGTTTTCCTTAATATAGCTCCCACAACTTTTCTCAATTAAATACATAAAAAAAACACTTATTCTCAGTCTTTCGTATCTAACCTTTTATATATCTTGCTTCTCGACTTTTTCCATCTTAGCTGATTTCCTATATTCCTTTAATTGTTTCTATTCTCTCTTATGTGAATTTTCCCACTTAACATTTTTTTTATAATTTTCATTTTATTTATTATAACTTTTTCTCTTTTCTTAACACAGGGTGACAGCGGCGGTCCGCTGATTGTACGTGATGGTATCTTCCAATTGGCCGGTGTGGTATCCTTCGGTTACGGTTGTGCCAGACCAAATGCACCTGGAATTTATACACGTGTCAGTCGCTACTTGGATTGGATTTCAAATAAAACTACAGATGCCTGCTATTGTTCGAAATGAACTGGTTAAGTGGCCTCATATGAGTTTTCGCAAATAGTTTTGCTTAGATTTTTTTTTAATTATAAATTATTTTCTCTCTGTAATTAATTTTTAAAATAAAGCATATTTATGTAAAAAAATACAATGGAATTTTATTGAATTCGAAATGTGATTTTTAAATAAATTCGTAAATTTTCCTTTAAAAATTTGAGTTATTTTAATAGGAAATTTTCTTTAAATAACAAGATAAAATTAGTAAAAATAAAAATATTAATAATTCTTAGTTACCTAAACATTTTCGCGTCCTAAGTATAAAATGTATTCTTAAATATATTACAATTTTCTACAGCGCTCAGAAATACAATATGATTTTTAAGACTTGTCTTACCCTCCTCTCATCCCGTTTTATAAGCTCCTCTATACGATTTTTGCAACAAAAATCAGTACAATTTTTGTTGTTTTTTACTGTCTGCATCACAAATTTTTTATCTCGTCTTCTTCCTCTCTCGTGACAACATTGTCGTCTGCCCGCCACAGCAAATAATTGCTTACAATAAAATATGTTGCAATTATGCAACGAAAATGTTGACGATTTACCGCCAACAACTCAACGATTGACCGTTGACTGTAACAATGTACATATAAATATACGCACAGACTTACACAAACATTTCAACATTCAGTCACTACGAAAGGATATATCGAGAGTCAACGGCAAAACGCCAACACATCTTCATCTTCAAAGGTTGCCGATGAGCAAGAAAAAAAGGAGACAACATACACACGCACATAATAAGTAATTGCGTTGACCAGAGGAGTAGCGAGAGAATGTATGTCAGATTATAGTTTTACTTGCAATTTTTGCTGTTGGCATTGGAAGTTGAAAAATCCGCTCCGTTGACAGTTTACAAGCGATAACAATGCGCGGCACTTAGGCAATGTCCTTGGAAGCAGAAAAAATGCTATGAAATATAAAGAAGTGAGGGTAGGATTAAGAAAAAAAGTTTATGCAGTTAAAAAAAACAAACAAATACAAAAAAAAATAATATTAAATAAAATTAAATTAAATTAAATAAAATAATATAATATAAAATAAAATAAAATAAAATAAAATATAATAAAATAAAATAACATAAAATAAAATAAAATAAAATAAAATAAAATAAAATAAAATAAAATAAAATAAAATAGAATAAAATAAAATATAATAAAATATAATAAAATATAATAAAATATAATAAAATATAATAAAATAAAATAAAATAAAATAAAGTAAATAAAAAATAAATTAAAAAAATGAAAAACAGAAAAAGCATGAAATACTCTAAAATGAAATAAAAGTATAAGTAAAACCAATCGAGTCAAACACAGTTACTTGCATTAAATGTACTAAATGCAGCATTACAATTGCATTTATGGCGGACAGCACGATTATACATTTGACTTATTACCGACAAGAAAGTTGGCAATTAAAGTGGCGCATGAAATTATCATAATGCCATAGAAACTACAAACTATGATATACATACATATATTTATATGCTATACAAGTGTATGTAGATTTGTGCCGGAAAAAATTTGCAAACCAAATATGTTGCTTATAGCGCTTAAGCACTATACAAACATATTTACGTAGCCAACACATGGTTATATTTATATATATGAATATGCAAATGTATGTATGAGCATATATTATGCTTAGCATATCATTAAGGCTACAAAAAATAGCAACTGCCACAACAGCATGAGATTGTATGCAACAGTAAATTTCTTCTCATAATTTTCAAATCTACTTGCGTACATAAATAAGCATACATTATATATAATACTAATGCACATGTATGCACAGGTTTAACTATATTTTCATTATAAAAGTTTTGCAGTTGTAAAAATGCATTGTTTGTGTTTCTTTTGTGGTAAATAAATGATTAGTTGCTCACTTACTTTGTTAAATTTATATCTTTATTGTTGTTGTTTATATGCACATTATAATAAATATAGATATGTATGTTTGCAATTACTAAGCCTTTAAGGTGACTTCAGGCTTTAATGAATATATTGCTAATTTACATAAATGGCTGCAAAATGCTTTTAATTATTCCACTTTTTTAATTGCATTTTATTTGCGATTACGAAGTGTTTTGAAAAATGACGGAAGAGGAGGCAATGAAGTCATTGGACTTTATTACATTTAAGTCTATAGTCGGGCTTAAGAATATATTTTTGCAAAAATTGCTCGACTATAGGCATGAAACAAAAATGGAAAAGTTAAAATGAAAAATGAATAAAAAAAAAAAAAAATTTTGAAAAAATTTTATTGTTAAATTTTTTTTTAAAATAATAACTAGTTTTTAATTGGGTAACTAATTTCACTTTTCTTTTAACCCTTTCCATATATTTTATTTTATAAAGTTTTTGTTGAACCTCAATATTTAATTTCACTTTAGTGACTAAGGTACATACATACACGTATGTAAATACATATATATCAGCCATCTCCAATCTAAGAGCTGAGAGAGCTGAAATAAAATAGTGAAATTATTATTTTTTTAATGAAATTTGACATGCCAAGGATAATAAAAGTAATTTTTACAAAAAATGTACAGGGTTATCCATTTTGCGGTTTCGAAAAGATATGTATTCTTGTTTTAAAGTCTAAATCTTGGCATTACAATTGAAACACTATATCAATGAAATGAATATTTATGCAAATTTCGATCCGTTTTAGGTAATTCTCGACCACTTTTTGATACATATTGTGCGGTATCTCAGCCATAACTTGATGTATGTGATCCAAAGTTAAAGGTTTATCCACATAAAAAAGTTATTTCGCATAGTCCTAAAAATAAAGTCCGACGGCATCAAATCGTACGATCTCGGTGACCAATTGACATCGCTAAGGCGAGCGAATATGCGGCCGGTGAACTTTTCTCACAATATTCGCTCGTGTTGTGTGGCATGTGGCGCCATTTTGTTAAAGTCTAAGTCGTGCTGTTCAGTTGTAGGCCAAAAGTAAATCGATTATTATGCGATTATTAACGCTCCGAATTGACAGTAACTGCCCCAGCGTTGTCATTTTCAAATAAGTGCAGTTCAATCACATCCCCAGGGCAAAGAGCGTACCAGGCAATAAGTCTTTTTTTGTTTCTCTTCAATTATTTGAGCACTCTCGGAGCTGCAAATATAAACATTTGCTTATTTACTTCTCCTTAAAGTGAGAAAAGTGCCTCGTCGCTCATCGCTGAAGAAAATTTTGGTCGAAAAATCATCCTACAGTTTGAAAAATGTAGGAATATCGTTCTATATTATAAAATGGGTAACCCTATACAATAAATGTTCATAAAACTCTTCCAGAAAACTTTCGTTTTATAAACTTACCACTTTTTTTTTTAATAATAGAGATGAAAAATGCATTTACCGGTTCATATACCGTTATATACTATATGAGAAAAAAATATAATTAAAATATACGACGACCTTCAATAATGAAAACCAGATTTTGTCAAGTAACTAAATAAAAGAAGATTAATCCAATTGTAGTTGAATTGACGGCGAACTTAAGCATAAAAAATCATTCAAAAATAATAATAATAATAACTAAGAAAATAAAAGCAGAAGAGAAATCTATAACAAAAAAGGCATTCTTCAGCCGAAAATCGATGTGTGAATAAAATCACAGTTCAATGCCATCAAAACGCAAAGCAAATGAAATTTATTTATTAGTGGAAAATCAATATGAGAATAAAACGATAACTTTTTGGGAACTGAAACAAGGAGACCATGGCATGAAATTGATAAATAATAATTTATGAGTCTGTTTGTATAAACTAATTAATATCTACATGAATTGTTCTTTGTAGGCAGAAAAGCTCTAATCACAAACTAGATAATAAATAGTTGATAAGCGAGGAATTTATGATATTTTTATGGAGCAAAAAAAGGAATTATTTTGAATATTCTCAATGAAACTCATTTTCAGAATATTATTTTATATTTTACATATTTCTGTGTTTCATGTTTTCCATAAAATATATTAGCATAGATGGTTTCATTTTTTATTAATTATTCAATGTATTGGTCGAGAAAAAAGTTCGTTCGGTTTTTTATTGATTTTTGAAAATATGATAACTTTGTGTATAATAGTCAAATATGCGCCGTTTTGTTTGTAAACTTGTTGCAACTTCTCATAATTCGGCATATGTTGATCAAATATGGCCTCTTCTGGATCAGTGCTGCCTTCAAGCGATCCATTTGTTGACAGTAGAGGGCCGAATTGAGCATTTGGCCATAGGGGAACAGCTCGTAGTAGATGATTCCTTGCCAATCCCACCAAACACACAGCAAAACCTGGTGCATCTCTCACTTCGAAATCGCCGGAACGGAACCGAGCAAGCCATTTTTGTGGTACACGTTCCTTTACAGTAACGGGCCCATAAACCAAATTAATTTTTTCAGCCGCTTCGGCTGCTTTTTCGCCTTGATCGAAGAAAAATTGTAAAATATAGAAAAATTTCTCTTTGCTGGGGTACATCTTTGACGGACGCTCACAACGTACTGAATCAATCCACCGAAAAACTGTCATAGACAAACTTTTAGCGCGAGTAAACACGATTTCAGCGCTGTATAGCATGACATTATGCGAAACGTACTATGGACAATAATGCCATCATAAAAACCGAATGAACTTTTTACTTGACCGAATATAAAATTTTATAAAACTTATTTATATTTAATTTAATTTATTTTTTATATAATTTTATTTTATTTTTTAAATTCATTTCTAAATTTAGTGCAATGATTTTTTTTATATTATTTAATTTATTTTATTTTATACAAATTTAAGATATTTCATTTATATTATTTTATTTATTTTTTTTTTAAGTTTATTTGATTTTATATTTTTTGCTCTTTGAATATTTATTTTATTATATTTAGTTTTTTTTTTTAATATTATATCATATGATTTTATTTGTTTTTTTTTTTTTTAATTTTTTTGTATTTAGTTTTAACTTTTCTGATTTATTTTATTTTGTTTTAATTTAATTTATATTATTTATTGTAAT